TATATTGCAATGCAGTTTTCTTATCTTGAAAATCTAGGAATAAGAAAATTCATGAAGGAATGGAGGAAAGTTCTACTTTTATTGCTTCCAATGCTATTTGCTACACATCTATTCTTAATAACTTTAATCACTTCTCATCGGGCAACTGGGATGTCAATCAATCGAAGAGATTGTCTAATTCTTGGCAACCCCCTCCACCCGAATGGCTAAAAGTTAATGTAGATGCTTCTCTCTTAACTTCTTATAAAGCTGGATTGGCGGGGGTATTCAGAGATTGTAAAGGCAGATTTTTATATGCGTTTGGAATCAAATGTATACATTGGGATATTGCAAAATTGGAGCTTCTTGCAATTTATTCTTTTGAAGGAACAAATGAAGGATTGGATGTTCAAGTACAAAGGAATTATAATTGAAGGTGAAAACTCCAACATCATCTCCTTCATTCAAAAGATTTGGGAAAAAGGTAACATAGTCAAAGAAGATCTTGATTTCCTTAAAAATTTCAATTTTGTTATCTTTAATTGTATTAGTAGAGATAACAATAAGTTAGCTAATTATTGTGCTAACTTAGCTCTTTTTAGTAGCTTTTCTTGGGATGATATCTATTTGAATAAGGTTCCTCCTTCTTTCTTGGACATTTTGAAGGAGGAATCCAACATCTAATTGTTTCTTGTTATCTTCTTTAATATAAGCTAGCTTCGGCTTTTTCTCAAAAAAAAAAGAAAGAGCACACAGTGGCTAAGAACTATATCATTTCATTCAACAAAATATTTCATAACATCAGAATGCATGAAGACACTGGGAAGCGTTTGAGTTGGAGAGAAGAGGTTGGGGATCTCTATTGCTTGCGGAAGGGAGCATAGTGGATTTCAAAGAGACCAAGTTTCCAGTGCTTGAAGGTAATTTTCGAGCTAAGGCTATTGAATACAAGACATCCTCAAGATATGTGAATGTGTTGTTTTGATTTCTATGAGAGAGAAAAGGAGGGGGGCGACCTCGTCATGGAGGAGGTGGTGTTGGAGTCCTAGTGATGACAATGTTATTCAACAGTTTGGTCAAACAAGTTTAAAATGGAGTTGTTGGCCATGAAGTGCGCTAGGCTAATTGAATCTCATACAAGGTCATTACAATTCAGCTTGATTAACAAAATCATAACTCAATAATAATTGACCCAACATATGAATAAAATGAAAGAAAATAAATTATAAATATACAAAAAGTACGTAAAAGATTGTCCTAGGTATAAAATAACCTAATACTTTACTAAACTAATCTTCAAAATGCATATTGCATCGCTATCAATTGCACAAACTGGTTTGATGAGATACTTTGGTCAAACAGAGAAAACTATATATATATATATATATATTGCACTTTTTGCCATTTGTTACATGTGTTTCCCTCATCCACGAAAGTGCAATAACGTACTGAATGTATTGCCGCCCTAGTGTACAAAATATTAGCGGTACTATTGAAAACTACCTTTTTTTTTCAAGTACTTGACTGCCTTGTTACTAATTTCTATATTTTGTATTTATAAAACTTTATCGACTTGAACAAGTGTTATACACATATATGTTCAACTGAGGCAGCTTACTATTTTGGTTTCAAGACCACAACTATAGACCTATTTAGCTATAACGTTTGTGCTACTTGTTAGAATATGTGGTGATATGCAGTTTTTACAGCTAGATTTATTAGTGTGGTAGTTGTTAGAAAGCTACTATTCAATGTGGTAGTTTTAGAAAGATACTACTCATTTTTTCATGGGAGAAAAAATTTATATTACCCACACAACTTTCATAGAAAGTTATTTTTACTTTTTAACTAATTTTACACACATTTGCACTTGCCCCAAATGGTCCCTGTAAGTAATAGTAAGATAGTTTTAATATTAGTCTTAGCTATGATAAGATTTGATTTCACCTGTAGCTTGCAGATGGTTGAGTATGTGATAATTAATTAATTTAATTGCTTGTATTGTAATAATTACTCTCAGGGACAGTGCCAAATGATTACATACGTGAAAAGGTTGAAGTAGCTACAGTGGCTGATAAGATTAGAGTAGGCTTAGATGGTTTGGTTGCATAAAACGTTGGCCTTTTGAAGACTCCGTTAGGAGAGTATATGTATGAAGATTTGACCTATGCTAAAAAAGATAAAGATAGGCCTAAAAAGATGCTAGAGTATAAATAAGGTGATCTTTTTTTTAGATTTAATTGAAAATTTGATTATTCATAAGACAATGGAGAAAAATGATTCATGTAGCCAACCCTATCTTGTGGGATAAAAGCTTGAGTTTATTGTTGTTGTTGCTGCTATTGTGAGATTGCTATAAAGTTTGCATGTTAAAGCAAAGTCTAGAGGACAACCCCAGCTAATAGCAAGTATTTCTAGTTGATGCAAATTATGTATTGGTCTATCTTTTGCCACTTTTTATAGCAAAACTTGAAAAAAAAAAAACCTGCTTGCTATTAGGAAGGAGCATGAAATATCTTCTTCATCCGAAGTGCTGTTACTAGTATTATGTATTACTTCCTTTTTTCTTTTTGCTTGCTCATAACAACATTTTTGCTATTTATGAGGCATGCAACTGAAATTTACTATGATGCTACTATACCATTTTCATTTACTGCCACGATTATTGTAGTTCGACCTTAATAAATTTGAAAGTACGTACCTTAATAACGCATGACTAACATGTCTATGTTTTAAACAGTAGACATAATGACACCTGGTGCCACAGTGATCATTCGCAATGCTAAGATTGATATGTTTAAGGGGTCAATGCGTTTGGTCGTAGACAAGTGGGGACGTGTTGAGGTCACTGAACCTGCCAACTTCAACGTAAAAGATGGTAACAACTTGTCACTTGTCGAGTATGAGCTCGTCAACGTTGCTGAAGAGTGAAAGTAGCATCCTTGCAAAATATCTTTTGGATCGAGAAAGCTTTTAATGTGCTCTTTCCTGCTCGTTTAACCTTGCATTCCTAGTTCTTGAGTTGCTTAAGAAGGCAGTTCTTTCAGGAGCAGCACATGAAAGTATTTGTAGTAGCCTTGTAGCCGCTTGTGATGTATTTTGTTTCTTTTTTGACATATATTTCATGTGATTTAGGTGTATTGGCTCGTGGATGGTTTATGGAAGGACGTAAATGAACTATCAAACTCTTTTTTGGAGTATAGTTATTTTATAAAACCTGAATGTTATGAGATTTTAATTTCATTATTTGTTTTGGCTGATTTTTGGCATCCACTATTTATTTAGTGACTGGAATTGCTATTTTAGTTTATTGTGATGGTGAAAATTGTTGGCAAAGTTTGCCATTTGTTGTAGTTATTTTTTGATAAATGTTCAAAATATTTGAAAGTTATTTTGAGTGTTTAAAATTTTGATTTATTTAAAATAACTAAATATATGTTAAATAGCTTTTTGACAAGCACTTGCTGCAACGGGTCGTGTGAACCAAAAGCCTATCAATAAATACGAAAACATTCCCACTAGTTCCCAAAAAATATAAATTTGTATCAAATTGGAACTAGTAACTAATCCTAACATTTAAGCATTGGAAAAACTCATATAAGCAAAAAATCTCAAAGAATTAATCAAGTTTATTGTTTAGTTCTTAATTAACTTATTATTAATTAACTTAAAAATATAGAAAAGAAAGAGATTTTTTATTACTATTCTGAATATTAAATATGAATATTAAGATAGAATATTCATATTCTATTTATATTATATATATATTTGTATATTATATATTTGTGATTTGTATGTATATTATATTCTTGAGGGATTTTTGAAATTTATGGAATTAAGTATTAAGTATAGATAATGACTAATAAAGAGTAATTTCTATTGAACAATATATGTCTTTCACATACAACGATAAAAAGTAGTAACCTACCTTTTGAATGGCAGTTCCAAAAAAACGTACTTCTATGTCAAAAAAGCATATTCGTAGAAATCTTTGGAAAAAAAGGATCTTTATAGGCAATAAAAGCTTTTTCTTTAGCTAAATCTGTTTCCACCGGACAGTTAAAAAGTATTTTTGTGCGACAAAAAAAAGTCTTGGAAAAATCTTAATTGACATGTTTCAAAGAACTTCCAAATTTCCATTTTTGAATTGTAAGACAAATGATTCAATTTTACTAAATTCAAGTAAAATTGAATCATTTGTCTAAGATCTATTGAAATATGAAATTGAAATCTAAAATGTTAGAGATTCTATATCTATTCTTAGTATCTTCTAAGTAATTCTAGTAAATTAGAGTCTAAATTAGAATATTTAGTCTTTATAGTAAAAGTGTTCTGTTCTAGTAATATCTAGTATGTTCTAGTAATATCTAGTAATAGTATTAGAGTATAATAGTAATGTAATATAGTACTAATATTTTTCATATTTTTCGTCTTTCTTTTCTTATTCTTAAGTATAAGATTCAGAAATTCATTAATGAAAAACGAATTTCATTATAAATGAAAGTTGAAGTTCAGTATTATATTCATCTGAATAATTCTAATTCACTTAAGAAATCTTAATAAGAAGGAAGTATTAAGAAAGAAAAGAAATAGATCTTAGAAATCTTATAAGAGAAAGAATCTCAAATAGAAAACACATATTTCTAAGATTTTAAATCTTTTACTTGTTCAAAGCAAAGGACAAGCTTGAAAGTATGGGAGCGAGTTATGGAGCATAGGTTGCGGCGTGATACTAATGTTTCTCAAAATCAATTTGGATTCATGCCGGATAGGTCGACTATGGAAGCCATACATTTATTAAGAGGTTTGATGGAGAAATATAGAGAAAATAAGGAGGATCTACATATGATATTTATTGATTTAGAAAAAGCATATGATAAAGTTCCAAGAGAAGTGCTATGGAGAGTTCTTGAAAAGAAAGGAGTCAATAATGCTTATATTCAAATCATTAAAGATATGTATGTAGGAGCTATTACTTGTGTTCAAACACAAGGTGGATTGACCAAGTATTTCCCTATTTCGGTTGGGTTACATCAAGGATCAGCCTTAAGCCCATATCTTTTTGCTTTAGTCATGGATGTTCTCACTAGACATTTGCAAGAGGATGTACCTTGGTGTATGCTTTTTGCTGATGATATTCTTCTTGCTGATAAGACTAGAGAGGGAGTTGAAGGTAAACTTGAATTATGGAGGTCAACCTTAGAGTCTAAAGGTTTTCGCTTGAGTAGATCTAAAATGGAATATATGGAGTGTAATTTTAGTAGTAATAGACTTAGTGAGGGGATTGTGACTTTGGTCGATCAAGTCATTAATAAGAGTACACATTTTAGATATCTTGGATCTATTGTTCAGAGTGATGGTGAAATAGATGGAGCAGGCTAAATATATGTTAAATAAATATGTATTTTAAAACTACTAATAATAATAATATAAAATATAAATTATCAAGGTGGAGCAGGCTACTTTATGATGTTTACTATTATTTACGTCTATACTTTATGATGTATGTTTTTATCTCCTTTATGTCATTTATTTCTTAGTTATTTTTTTTTGTGATGTCAAAAAGGAGAGTAATAGTGTGTTTTTAATGCTGTAACTATGGGCATCTTTTAATGAAGCTAGTTTTCCTGTTTTAGTTATCTTCTATTTTTCTAATGTCTGTCTTGTATTTCTTTAAAAAGAATTTATTAAACTCTTCTCATTTACAAATTTTCATTTTTCTGAGTTTCAAAAAATGTAAAAATAATTTAAAATTCTTTAACAATAATGTTTGTCATCATTAAAAAGGGGAGATTATTACAAATTTGGATCAAGTATTATAATTTTGATGATTACAAATATTATTGTGCTTTTTACTATATTATTTCAATCTATTGCATATCTGTTTTGTCCTATTAACTTACATTTCAGGTCCACTGTTTACATGCAACTTCAATAAGCTCAAGATTGAGTAGACAAGGGTTGAGTCGATTTATAATTTTAATTTTAATACACTTTTACATTTCTATTACAATTATAACTAAATTGATCATATGATTAGGTGTTTAATTATGGTTAAAATATTCAATCAGATTGTACAAGATGATTGGATATGATCGTACGGTACAAACCGATTCCTGCATGGGATGATAATTAAACGCCACCTATCGTCCAAGATGAAAAATCTTAAATTTTCACTGACTGTACAGGACAATCCACAAACTTCATATGGTATTAACCGATCACTGCAAGGGATGATGTCTAATTAAAGAAATTTTAAATTATCAATTTATCCCCCTCTTGGTTATCCTCGGGTTAGTTCTTAGAGGTTTAACAATATTCACAAAATTTCAAGGTTAAAATCCTATATCAGAGTTTAAATGTTGGTATTCATATCCTTAAACCCCGCTTTAAATTTTAAATCCAATTCCCCATTGTGTATTGTCATGGAGATTCAATCATTAAATTCTAAATCAGTTATTTATTAATCACCCTTGACGGTCACTTGATCAGCTACTCAATTATTGTCAATCACCTAATGATTGTCAATAATTTGAATATTTTTAATCCTAAATCATTCAATAAACTGTAAAATTCAATGCTAAATTAAATCTAAATCCATATCCAGCTTAAAACTCTAAACCTAAAAAATATAGTTTTCAGATCTAAAGCCTAAGCCTTTGAACATTTCCCTATTTGAAAGGAATTTTCAATTGATTCCAAACCTTTGGTGAAAGCTCTAGAATGGTGTTTTAACTTTTGAAACTTGATTAAAAATGTCATTAGAGTATACCTAACCATTTGGGAGGCCTTCTTGACTTTCTAAGTCCTAAACCACAAATTATATTCCAAGCATATAAACCTTTAAATAATTATAATTCATGCCACAGGACATGACATCTTATTGAAAACTATCTTAGAAAATATTACAAACTCATTAAACATGTACATAATCATAATCATATTGATTTTAATTCCCTTGGGCCTTTGGTGGACCATGGTTGACCAAGAAACCCATAAGCCCTAAAAAACATTAAAAATGGCCTTTTGAATAAACCTTTCTTAGCATAGGCATGCCATGACCCAAGACCACTTTTAATACATTTTAAATGTCATTTGAAGTGGATTTGTCACAAACCCAAGCTTTGGTCAAGATTGGTTGACTAAGTCAACCTAGGTTAACCAAATTAACATTTGACCATTAAAAATGCATATCTTGCATATAGGCCATGCCATGACCAAAAACTTCATCCAACAAGTATTAAATGTCATTGGAATTGGTTGGACCCAACCCCAACCCCTAGTGAGCTCTAGTCGACCAAGTAAACCATGGCAATGTTAAACCTAACCCCTTTAAGCCCTAATTTAATTAATCTAAACTATTCATCATAATTTGCATCCAAACCCTTTTCATAATAATTTACACATCTCATCCTCCTCTAGAAATTCTAGGGACCCTTCTCCTTAATGATTCATTCATGTATTTTGGAGATCTTTCGATGGTTTTTGGTTTCTGTTTTGTTTCTATAATTTGTTTAAGTAGCTTGTTGCTTCCTTTTGTCGTTGGGCCTTTAATGTCCCATGGTTTTTTTTACTATTATGTTTTCCTTGCACAACAGCAATCTGGATGCTATCCATTTATTTATTAACAACTTGAAGTTTTAACTTTAGTCTCTATTCAATTGTTGTACCCTCATCATGTCATGATTCAATTATCTAATAATTTCTTACTTCATTAATAATTGTCAAATATGGTTATTGAAGTGGAATCCATTTTTTTATTTCAATCAGGAACCCCCAATCATTTCCATTTAGATCTCTTCCCCCCCCCTTTTTTTTTTCTTTTTTTTGTTACATGTGTTACATGCCTTGGGTTCATTTTTTGGTAGGCCATTTCGAAAGGACTAAGCCATGACTTCTAAAATGAGGCCCTCGGTTTCCCATATTATGGTTGAAGTGGATAAGACTATGGTTTTGAGTCTCTTAGGTCTATGAAAAAATTGAATTTGAAAAGGTCCCTAATTTTTGTAATCAATATAAGATGCATGGTCATTCTGCTATGGAGTGCATCACTCTGCATTCTTCACTTAGGAAACCTCAATCTCCTTTTGATGAAGTTGGTGGTCCTATTTTTGTTGAACCTGAAGGTATTATTTATACCAACATTGTTGGGAAAATGTTGGTTCCTCATTTGATACTACTCCAATTCATTATGAGTATTATTAATACTACTAAAGAAGTAATTATGATTGAATTACATAAGGAAGTTCTAAATTTTCAT